GGGTGAGGGGGTGGGCGGTGAGGGGGTGGACAGGTGGGACAGACAGGTGAGGGGTGGACAGGTGAGGGGTGGACAGGTGAGGGGATAGACAGGTCAGTAGGCTACAGGTGAGGGGACTGGCTGGTCACTGGCAGACAGCAGGACAAGTGAGGAAGATGACTAGAGGCATATGTAAGGTAGGCAGGTTAAGAGGTGACTGGCCAGCAGGTGAGAAAACAGGACGGGAAGACAGGTGGGGAGACAGGTGAGGGAATGAATGAGGGGGCGGGGTACAGGTGAGGAGATTCACTGGTGCTTGGGGCAGACCTGCGGGTAACCAGTGAAGGGGATGGACAATTGGGAAGCAGGTCCCCTCCTCACATCCCCCCTCACCTCACCCCGACTCCAGAATTGCCCGGGGCTACCAGGGCTCGCCGGACCTGCGGCTGACGTGGCTGCAGAACATGGCCGGGAAGCACGCGGAACTGGGCAACCACGCCGAGGCCGCCCAGTGCATGGTGCACGCCGCCGCCCTCGTGGCCGAGTACCTCGCGCTGCTCGAGGACCGCCGCCACCTGCCTGTGGGCTGCGTTTCCTTCCAGGTGAGCGGTGAGGGAGTGGGGGTGGCAGGCAGCACATGTGCAGTGCGGACCATGGTCTGACGCCACCTCTCCTGAACCAGAACATCTCATCCAACGTGCTAGAGGAGTCTGCCATCTCCGACGACATCCTGTCGCCCGACGAGGAGGGCTTCTGCTCCGGGAAGCACTTCACTGAGCTGGGGCTGGTCGGGTTGCTGGAAGAGGCAGCCGCCTACTTCACCATGGTGAGACTGTGGGGACTCAGGGCAGGAGAGGGGGCTCAGGCCAGGGAGGCATCATCGGATCTGCTTCCTAGACTCTTCCAGCAGAGGACTTGGAAAGAAGGAAAATTGGCTGGGCACTGTGGCTCACACCTGTAATCTGAGCACTTTGGAAGGCTGGGGCAGGCGGATCACGAGGTCAGGAGTTTGACAGCAGCCTGGCCAACATGGCGAAACCCTGTCTCTACTAAAAATAGAAAATCAGCTGGGCGTGGTGGCAGGTGCCTGTAATCCCGGCTACTTGGGAGGCTGAGGCAGGAAAATCGCTTGTGGTGACCCGGGATCACACCACTGCACTCCAGCCTGGGTGACAGAGTGAGACTTTGTATCAACAACAAAAAAAGAGAATTGGATTCTCAGAGGCCCCGTTATCTGCGTGTGCCTCATGAGACCCCTGATGCAGGCCTGATATAGCAAGCCTTCCATACATTGGAGATATGTTCAATTTTCCTTTCTCTTTTTTTTGGACAGAGTCTCGCTCTTTTGCCCAGGTTGGCGTACAGCCTGGTGGCAATGGTAGCTTGCTGCAGCCTTGAACCCCAGGCTAAAGCAGTCCTCCTGCCTCAGCCTCCCAAGTAGCTGGGACTACAGGCATGTGCCACCATGCCCAGCCAATTCTTAAATTATTATATAATTTTTTCTTTGTAATATTTTCTGAGACAAGGGCCTCCACTCTGTCACCCAGGCTGGAGTGCAGTAGCGTGATCGTGACTCACTGCAACCTTGGGCTCCAGGACTCAGGTGATTCTCCTACCCTGGTCTCCTGAGTAGCTGGGACGACAGGCACACATCACATGCCCAGCTAATTTTTTATATTTTTTTGTAGAGATGGGGTTTTGCCATATTTCCAAGGCTGGTCTGGAACTTCTGAGCTCAAATGGTTTGCCTGCCTCAACCTCCCAAAGTGATGGATTTCAGGCATGTGCCACCACACTCTGCCAATTTTTTATATAAAAAATTTTTAAATTTTTTATATAGAGAGAGTCATGTTGCCCAGGCTGGTCTCCAACTCCTGGACTCACGCAATCCTCTCACCTCAGCCTCCCAAAGTGCTGGGCCTACAGCTGTGAGCCAGTGTGCCCAGTAGCTGATTTTCCACTGTTGTAAAGGGGTTTTCTTCTCTAGTCTGCTTGTTTGTATGAGGGCAGTTGGTGGCTTCTGCATTTGACTCGCAGGAGCCCTGGGCCTTTGCTCCGTGTGTTTTTCTGGTTTGTGTGAGGCTGGCTGTGTCCATGTGATGTCACTTTACCTGCTTCTCAGTTCCTCGCATTTCTGGGGAACTGGCAGTTTCATCTGAGAGCCCAGTGAGATTCAAGGTCACACTTGAAGTCAGGTGTTCCACTGAGATTTCTTCTGTGGTGCTGGCCTTTTACTGTCATTGTATTCATTATTGTCACTTTGCTAGATTCTTGGAGACGAAGACCTCAGGGGTCAGGAGTTCAAGAGCAGCCTGGGCAACATGGAGAAACCCCGCCACTACTA